TGATACCATCAAAGAAAACACAATAAGGATTATCAATGAAAAATCAATTGATTGATAAAAGTTTATGTGATGAATTAACAATATGATTGAGAGTGCAAAAATTTATCATATCAAATGGTAGGAAGAAGATTATTTTGTGTGATGGGAAGGATTATCCATTATCAAGTGTTACTTGTTGAGTACACAGACAGAGCTTGTGATGTGTGTTGTGTCCTTGACAATACCAACACGAGGCCATCATATGTCCACCTTTCCCATAGATTTGTTAGGTTAGTGCAAAATTATGAATATGATCACATTTGATTGATGAATTGGATGAGCAGCTTAAAAGAGTGCATCGATGAGCTCGAGTGTTGTGCCCCCTAGCATGACTTTTGGTAGTAGTCGAAGAGATTCACACTCTAACTAAGGCACAGCTTGAGCGCGAATAAAAGAAATATATTTTGAGTCGATACAAACTCCAAGAGAAGAGGAGAAGGGGAAATTAAAGGAGATTTCTTATATCCTCAAGAATCATGTTACCATGATTTTTATATATTTATATTTGCTCACCTAATAGTGGTTTTGTTATTTAGTTAACAACTGAACACAAAAAAGCTAATAATTTTCTTGAACATTATCATTCTTGTAATGATGTCTATACATATTCTATTGTACATAATCATTTAGAAAAATTGGTTTGCACTCTTTTCTTACTATTATGAGTTTCTTGAATGCCTTTTATATTTTCTCTAGTTAGTGTACATTCATATGCTTCCTTCTCCATCTTATTAAAAGTCTGTTTGGGGCAGTTGCAGCTTTTTAGCTTTTCAGCTGTAGCTGCACTGCGGAGAAGCTGTTGCGGGGAAGCTGGTTGGTTGTTTGTTTCAGCTAATTGAAAACAGTTGTGCGACAACTGTTTCTGGATAAATAATTATTTTATCCCTTTTTAGTAATATTATTTATAACATAACAATCATAACTGGTTGGTTGTTTGTTTCAGCTAATTGAAAACAGCTGTGCGGCAACTGTTTCTGGATAAATAATTATTTTATCCATTTTTAGTAATATTATTTATAACATAACAATCATAATCGCAATTTTGATACTTCAAAAGTAAAAATTTACGGTTTAAAGAGAAGAAAAATGTAGCATTTATAATTTGATGAAATTTATGTTGTTTGATCGTAATTGGGTTAGTGAATGGCTTAATGATTGGTGTTGGAGTGAAGTGAATAGGATCGTTGGATATTGATTGAAGTTTCTAAATGAGTGTTGATTGTTTAGATTTGATTTAAGGGATATAGCAAGTATATTGAATTGAGGTTATCAAACTGTATTTAATTAAGGATTTTTTGTGTCGATATTAACAACTTGAGACTTGGTTAAGGTGTTTATAAATTTGATAATCCCTTCTCAATAAATTTTTGTTTAGAAACAAACTTTGATCACTTATCTTAAAGAATAAAAATCAATGGTCATATTTCTCCATTATCAAGTATTACGATGCATACATAGTCAAATTTCTCTTTCCCAAATGAGTTTCAAATTACGGATGCAGAGGAGGAATCGGAGGCAGCGAGAATGACGAGTTAAGGGAAGCGTTCATTGAGTACGGCTAAAACAATCTTGTCATTATCAATTGAGGATTGGGATCAGAGAGTGCAAAAATTTGCAGAGAATGAAAAAGGAACATAAAATGTGAAGGCAGGGTGAAGCATACGCATAAAAGTAATAAGGGAAAGCTAGTAATAAAAGCAGACTATGGGAGGGATCCGGCGGCCCACGTTCCGCTGCAATCAAATTGTTTCCCCAAACGGAGTAGTTTTTTTTTTGGGGGAGGCGGGGGGACCGCACGAAGAAATCTACCCCAAACGTGCCTTAATTCATGACTCATAACTTTTATTATTTATGGATGAAGGATTATAAGTGAGTTTTTAGCATCCCTGTTATCATAAAAAACAACTTTATTTTCAAGGTACAGGGATGAATATAATTTACATAATAATGGAAATCCTCCCAAGTGATTTTTCATTTGATGCAGTCTATCATGTAATCACATGTGGTATTTTTATTCATTTTTTTGTGAAGCTATCTTGAAACTAAAATGACTGCTAACAAATTGAGAGATTGACTTTGGAAGCAAAGGAGTGGCGATTCTCCCCTTTTATTGTCGTATCTCTTTTACAAAGTTTGAAAATATGATGTGAAATATTGGATAAATTTAACATTCTTATGGTAAAGCCAAATGACATATCACCGGGTTGATAACAATTGAAATGTAAAAGAGGATCAAAAAATTTCTTAGCTTACTTGTTGTGTTTATTGACAAGCGAAATTTGGCAATCTGTTTATATTTTGACCATAACCCAAACATTTTTAGCGAATGTTACATCAAGTGTATGGTGATTTGTCATTATTTTTATTTTATGTTGAGCTTTCACTATATTTTGTTGAAGCATCTTGAGTAAATTGTTGTGATCTATAAGAGCCACGTCATCATTTTCAATTTTTGTGCTACAATGCATATAGAAAGAAACAGTGGTAGTTGATCGACCATATAAAGCTTGATAGGGAGACATTTAATTTTTTAAATAACAGTGGTAGTTGATCGACCATATAAAGCTTGATAGGGAGACATTTAATTTTTTAAATGATAATTAGTGTTGTAACATAATTCTGCCCAAATTAAATATTTTGACCATAATTGGGGACGTTTAATGTATAAGGCCACGGTTAAAGTTGGGTAACATTGTTATGAAATTTATAGAAATGTTCTCCCAAACCAATGTTGATTTAATTTCTTTAATTTCTTGGCAAGTAAATATTTACTAAAAAATTTTTATGCACTTTTGCACGCATGGACCAATAAAAATTGATAGCTACACTCTTTTGAGTTTTCAAATTATCATCGTGACTTACTAAAAGTGTTAGGTGCGTTGTTAAAACAATGTCTTTAATTACAATGCTTTATCGGTGCATATTTTATTTTTTAAGTATAATAAACTATCTTTTCATTGGTACTTTCTAGACGAAAGGTCACATTTCTCCAATTTATGACATAAGTCAATTATGACTTAAACATCTATTATTTTTGTAAAAAGCTTTTGAATGAATAGTACACTAAATATAATTGTGATGGTTCTACCTTTTGTTTATCCTTCAAAAGTTTAAACAAAGCATTAGCAACAACAATCAATTTTTCTACTTTATATTTAATGTGAAAATTGAATCACAAGAGCATTTAAAGATAAAATTATTGATATGGAGTCGATAAGAACTGAGTTTTTAGTTATTGTAAGCACTTATGATCTTTTTTGAATTTTTGATGATGAATTCAGAACCAAAGATATATTGTCCCTACTTATAGATTGCTTATGTAATGATAAGTTCTCTATGATATTTTGAAGAGTTGCGCACTCTAATTCCTAATTTCTAGTTGAAAAACAAATTGAAGATCCTTCTTGCATTAAAGCTGCCCATATGTCATTGTTTGATGTATTTATTTCAATAATATTATTTTTTGAGAAACCTAATAATATTAATATCGACGCTATTGTCATAGCAATTTTTGAGATTTAAAAGGTTGTTTCAATATGTGCTTCCTATAAAAATGCTTCCTAATTTAATAGATGTTTTACGAGTGCCGCCAAGTGAGTTTAGTTTGTCATAAACCATTTGTAGTATCCGATGAGATACAAAAATCCATATAATTATTTAATATTTCATAGAGTAGGCTTTTGTTGTATATGAAATATTATGAAATATCGGCAATCGCATAAATATACGTGTCGATCAAGTAATATATTTTTTTGAGCTTGTGTATCGATCTCACAATGAATTAGTTAATTTTCCAAAACAATAGAATGGCTCAATATACGTATCAATCTCATATCTAAATACGCACGCACACTGGTTTAATAAAAAAGGGGAGCAATATTATGATTTATATACTAGTCATTACTTATAGGTGTTGCTATAAGTTCCCCCCGTCAGGAATGGTTCATATGCATTGCATGAGAAAAACTGTGCTGATATTTTCTGTAAGTGGAGTCCTTTATTTTTCATTTATCATGTATTTTATAAAATCTTAGGATCGAGACTGTATCAGAAATAAGGTACGAACACGGGTTCCGAGGCGGATGACACTTCAAATCATATGAAGGGGACTAGAAGCAGCAACCCGTGCCTCGTATCTTAATTCTGAATTAATCTCTTATATAGAATTAGAACAGAACATATTTATGCAGAGTCCGACCACTTTTACTGCTTTCCTGGGATAAGTTGTTGGTCCAGCGTCACCGATCTGTTTTTATTATTTTGATTGTTTTGTCATTTTTAATTTGTTATTGTTTTGTTTTCATGCTTTCTTATTGGATTGATGCTTGTTTGGGATATCTGTAAGAAAAAATAAAATCAATGCTCATCGAATGACCCTAAAATTTTAAACTTTCTATAAAAATTTTAATGATAAAAGATTAAGATTAATGTGCAATTAAACAAATGAATATATTCTTTTGAGAGTGCTCTTGACCACGAAACAAACACGCATACTTGAATATCTGGTTGTGGGTTGTTTTCGTAGGTTATTAGTTGTGGATATGTTTGCAGGTAATTTGAAATCCGATCTTGTTCGGACGATGCTCTTGAACTATCGTGTGAAGTTTACTTTACAAAAGTTCTCCGCATTTTTTTCTCTTTTTATCTTCAACATTGTATATCTCGTCCTTTCCAATTATTCTCTTCTCCGGGTGATGGATGACCCGGAAGAGAGATTTATTCAAAAAAACGAATTATGCAATGATAGAAAAACTCAAGACTCCTATAAAAAAAAGAAGAAAAGAATGAAAACAGTTGAAACAAAGATAAATAAGATAAAATATTAGAACCCGCAAAGTGAAGAATTTTCCAAGATTCTCTAATAAATTGTACCATCGCTCCACTAAGAAAAGCAAATTCGTACTCAAACTTTCTTAAAATGAACTTTTCGCACTAAGTACTCACTATAAGCAATGACTCACATTAGAGGAGCGGCGCCAGCGGGAGAAGCGACGGCAAGGGTTCACGCAACTAAGAGGGGCGGTCCGGCGGATTCGCTGGCGAGAGGGGAGAGACGCATGAAGGGAGCAATCGGGCCAGAAGGTCGCAGAAAGCAGAGAGATCTGACGAGAGGGTTCGCCGGCGGGCTAGCGCAGGCTGAGGGTCGTGAGCGAGGAAGGCGTCGGCGGTGTCGCGAGCTGGAGCGGGAGAGGCGCCAGCGAGGTCGGCGCTTGAGCCCTAGGTTGCTTAGTAGGAGAAAAAATGATTTCATACATATATA